TGAGTTTGAAGGGTGGAAAAGAGTCAAAGTTTCATAGAAGTGAATGGACAAGAAGAAGCATCAAGATGCACGTGGAAGACGATGGAAGAAAGAAGGAAGAAAACCAACTATAACACAGCGCCTAGGCGCCACAAAACAGCGCCCAGGCGCTGCACAACCTGAGAGGAAGCAGAACTGTAGCGCCTAGGCACCACAGTGCAGCGCCCAGGCGCTGCACAACCTGAAGCGAAGCAGAAACGCAGCGCCTAGGCGCCACTTTTGCAGCGCCGAGGCCCTGCATGCCGAGAAAGGAAAAACGCGATTTTTCCAAATATTTTTTGACTCGGCCCAACTCCAACTCGTAATGCAAATTAAGGGGATTATAAATACATATTGACAGACCTAAGAAAGGGGTTTTTTGACGGCTGAAGAAAGGAGGCAAGGAGATACACTAATTGAGAGAAGAATCATCGGATTTTGGAGAAGGAATCAAGCTGCAACTTGAGTTTTTTCTTATCTTTCTCTTCTCCATGCAATTTAATTTATATTTTATCATGTTCTTCTCCTCAATCATGAACTAAGTTATTAAATCTAGGGTTTAATGTAACCTATTTGAGACATGATTCAATTTCTTTATAGTATTTCCATTTAATTTTCCAGAATTGATTTGTATTGTTCTTGCTTAATGCTTTCGGTTGCTTGATCTCCAATTGAATGAATTGATGCTCTAAGTTTAACGCTCGAGAGAGAGAAGTTTAGGTATGATCTAAGAACGATATAACCTAGATTTGTAGATTTCGAGAGAAAGTGCGATTCTTTGAGGGTAAAACAAGAACCAAGTGCGTGACAATCTTTATAAATTTAACTCGGAATAGAGATATTGGGGTTGAATTATAGAGATAGGTTCTATTTGACGCTCGAGATGGGGAAATAAAATTAATTTAGGATTCTTGCCTATGAATTCGGAAAATAATTAATGGAAGTATCTATAGGGGTTGAGAATTATGTTGATAATACGGTGAAATCACTCTCTAGACTTTATGAAGTTCTGAATTAATCTTTAAAAATTGCCTCACTTTTGTTGCATTATTTAATTCATTGACATTAGTTTAGTATTTAAACATCAATTTAACACCCAATTGTCTAGATAAATTAAACGCGGACACAATTATAATACTCAGTGGAAGTCGAATATCAATCCCTGTGGGTTCGACACTTTTCAATTCTTTAAAATACTACAAAACTTGACACCGTGCGCTTGCGGTATAAAATCACGTTACATAAATCGCGTGGCAGTAGGTATATTATGATTAAAATAATCAATTAATTCAGCAGACACTTACATTTGATGTTTGATTGCATGTGGAAGACAAACTATTACTCGATAAACCTATTGCATTTCTATCATATCTGTGTGTATTAATGCCTTCGAAAAAAGTAAATATCTCAACGTCATCTTCTTCAATATCAATGGAAAAAGTAGGTGCAGAGGGTACTCGACTAATATTTGTACCCGTTCATTCTACATATAATTCACACTTCACATAAACTTTGTTATAAATTTCCATACGTTATAGGTGTATTTAAAGTTAAAGCACTTGAAATCTGATCAATTACATATTTAGTCTATGATAAATTATATAGGAGGTCCCTAATGCATACTCAAGGAAATAACATAGGCAAGTCTTCCCAATATTTTCTAAATTCTAATCTCATAAAATATATAATTGCATTAAAATGGGGATCATTTTTGTATTTATGAAATGTCCTTACAATTATATAAAAACTTTCAAGCACCATTTAACTAGTGGGATAGTAAAGTCAAGATAAAATATTTGTCGAGTCATAAAAATTTATTAAAATCTTTTTAACTTTTAAAGCAAAAAGCCAATTGGATTTATTCAAAATAGTTTGTCATTATTTCTAATATGTCTATTGTTATAAAACTCAGTTATCAAATGTTCAAAACATTCGCATGATTTTAATAACAAATAAGTGGAGTTTCATCTATGCCCTATATCACTAACAAATATTTTCGTATTCATCGCCTTAAATTCGACACAAAATTCCTCAAATGATTTTTCTACTCGAGGAGATCGTAATATCTATTAATGCATTCCTGATTCTATGCATTTTTTCTTTAATATGTTTCAAACTATCTTACACAACTAAATTTAAAATATGGCACACACAATGAATATAAACAAATAACCACCGAAATCAAGTTGCAATACCATATACAATTTATCACTAACTACTTTATAAACACTAGAGTTGTCGAATGTAGAAAAGAAAAAAAGAGTTTTACTCTCGTAGTGATATTCTCTAATAATGTTAATAATAGAATTATATATATTGTTTGCGTTGTGAGGGAATTCAATAATTTTAAACGTAATAATTTTTTTATGCATACACTTAAGTGGATCTATGTAGTGTACAACTGTAGTTATATAAGCTCTTTTATTAATCATTTCCCATATATTCAAAGTTAAAGATATAACACTTTCGTATTTTTGCAAATACATAATCAATTGTTGTTTTGTTTGAAGGAAATATTTTATTGTATTTGAAAGAAAAGTGTTTCGACTTACTCCAATGTACCTCGGTTGAAGATATTATTTTACGTATGAGACAAAATGTTGGCTTTCCGCTATTGTTAGAGGCAACTCAACAATGGCAACAAGTTTCATCATTCTCGTTCGAGCATTTTCTTTCAAATACATCCATGTAGTGAGAGGCGAAATCGTAGAACGGCACATGGACTACCAAATTGCAGTTGTATTTGACCAGCTTCAAGAATTCCATATTTGGCCTCGCATGCTTTGTATTGACGATTGAGTTGGGTGGTATCAATACCGTTTTGCTATGTTAATCGTTCTCGACAATATTTGTATGCTGCTTCAGACTCTGCGACTCCATCGACCACACGACCTGTTGAAATCAATTTAAAGTGATCCCAACATTTTACTTGTTTTTTCCCATTCCACTTCCTTCTTGCATCGGGAATATCTAATTCAGGTTCCTCCTCCTGTTTCGCATAGAGAACATCATTATCATCTAAATCAATTGGATTATTGCTTTCATGAATAGTCAAATTTGGAATATCTTTGGGAGTGGGTATTTCATTTAGATCGAAAATTTCATTCCAAAATTGATTTTGCAGCGCCATAGGTAATTCGCCTCCGACACCGAAACAAGCCCTAAACAAATAAGTATAGATTCATTTGTAAATTGTGATTAAATTAAAATGTATAGACGACATAGTAAGTACTAAGACTTAACTAAGTAAAGAATATGGAAAGAAAATTGATGTGTGCAAGATTGAGAATTTGTAATAATAAATTTAGTGTGATAATTGAATGAATTGATATAGAATAATTGAAATTGAAGATAAAATTGTAAAAATGAATGTAGAATTGTGAAAGAGGGTGTAAGAGAGAGTTGTTGGAAACTTGGAATGCTGTATTGTCGTATAAAAAAAAAGGAAACGGACAAGGGTATTTATACAAGAAAAAATTAAGTTACCATTCCGACCACTCTTCAAAATTCAGTGACTGAGCCCTAGCTCAGGCTCGTGGGCTCACTTGAGACAAGCTACAAGCCAGGCTCGTGCTAGTGGCCCGTGGCACGAGTCGAGCATGTTTGGCTTGCTAAACGGGTCGACCCGCTTGACTCGAGCACGTCATTTGAGGAGCCTGAGCTGCCCATGAGCCGTATTTTTACGAGCCGAATGGTCAAGCCAACGAGCCGTTCGACCTGTTTGACATCCCTATTAATTTTTCAAGGTTCTTAATATTTTCTAATTTTCTTGAATACATTACTAGTATTTCTTTTAATGAAAGTAATTTAAATTCATAAGATAAAATATAGTAGACTAAAAATATATTGAGTCAATTTTTAGTAGTTATTGCTAAAAGTTGATGGAATGTGTGATTAAAATTAATTATTGATTTTAACTTAAATTTTAATAAAATATTTTAGAGGTACCAAACATAGGTTAAATTTAAGCCCCATTTTTGTAGAGAATGCATTTTGAAATTGTAGATCAACATATTATCGTTAAAAATGAAGGAATTTTTTTTGGTTGTGTGTAATATTAATTTATAGAAGAATGTGTGATTGAAAAGAAAAAAGAGAAAAATATATTTTGAAAAAAAAAAAGATATTAAACAAGGTATAAATTTAGGGTTGAGTAAACCTCAATCCACACCGTTCAACCCAAGCAACCCAAAATAACCCGATCGGTTTGTGTTGAGCTTTTTAAGTTCAATTACGTTGAGTTGAGCTGAGTTGAAAATTTATATTCGAGGTTGAGTTGGATTGGGTTGCGTTTCGAGTTATGATTTAAAATCCATCCCACCTAATGAATTAAGAAATTAATGTCTAAGATAAAATAAAAAAAATTAAAAAAACCTAAATAAATAAAATGGCAAAAATATGAGAATGACTTATAACATATGAACGTTTATTTTCTTTACATAGATTGATTCACATAAACACTATGTACAAATGAAATGTTATTTGACAATCAAGTAAAAATTAAAAATATGGTGATGAAATGAATAAATCTCAAAAAAAAAAAAAAAAAAAGGACTTCATAAATTTTAAACATATTTTTACATTATTTTTCAAAAAAAATTTCTTATATAAGTATTTAAAAAAAAGATATTTTCAAGTAATTTCAAACTTTAAAAAAATTATCTAAATTCAACAAAAAATTGATCGGATCAAAATTTAATTGGCTCGAAACCTAAATCGGCCAACCCAACCCAAACTTGATTGAGTTGGGTTGTGTTGGGATTAAACCATTAATTGAATCGAGTTGAATTAATTTTAGATCAAATCAATCATGTTGGGTTAGGAAAAAAAGATCTAATTCAATCAATGTCTACCCTAGACATAATGATGAAAAAACGGAAGGAAGAAAAGTTAAGAAACACGTGTCCATCTACAATTGGTAACATAGACATTTCTAGGCTACTCTAGATTCAAGAATATTTTATTCTGGAAAAGTTCTCCAAGAATGCTCGGGAACTCTCCAAATTCTTCATGTAACTTGCACATTCAAGCCTATGCGCTCTTATAAATTCTTCCACTTTCCAACTTCCACAGCAAGACGAAATCCAGCAAGCAATATTCTTCCTACTCTGTGAGAGTTTGATCACATTCCAATCTACAACTAAATTCTCCAAATCTTCCACTTTTTTGGCAGAAAATGTCGCTAATTCCAAGTGTTTTTGGCCGGCGAAACGACATCTGGGATCCATTTTCTCTCGATCCCTTTCAAGACTGGCCGTTTAATTCCGTGCTTTCCACACAGATTCGTTCCGACCTTTCCAATGAGACATCTCAGTTTGCTGCCACTCGGATTGACTGGAAGGAAACACCGGAAGGCCACGTGTTTAAGGCGGACCTTCCAGGGCTGAAGAAAGAGGAGGTGAAGGTCGAAGTTGAGGAAGGTAACGTACTGCAGATTAGTGGAGAAAGGAGCAGGGAGAAAGAGGAGAAGAATGATACTTGGCACCGTATGGAGAGGAGTTCTGGCAGATTCTTCCGCCGGTTCAGGCTGCCGGAGAATGCGAAAATGGATCAGGTCAAGGCAAGCATGGAGAATGGTGTCCTAACTGTAACTGTTCCCAAAGGGGAGGTGAAGAAGCCTGATGTCAAAGCCATTGAGATTTCTGGTTGAAGACGATAAACACCAAGAAACTGTTTTGAAGTCTTACGTATTGTGTATGCGTACTTATGAATCGGTGTATGTTATCTTTTAACTGTGTTATCGGGTGAAATGGTTGACTTTTGAAGTGTGATGGTCTATGTTTTGTTGAATAAAACTTGCTTTATTTGAATATATTTTCAGAGTATCTTTGAGTTAATTTCTTATTTTGAAAGGGCATATTTTATTATTTGAAGGGTTTTTATAAATTTATAGAGTTCAATTTTTAAAATAATTTAACAAGTTTTTTATATTCAAAATTTGATTTTATTAATATAAAAGTATTTATTATTTTTTAATCTTTTATGTTAGTTAAATTCATTTTGATTGTTTTCATATTGAAAATTGATAATTTGATATACTTTGAATAAATTTTATAGAGATGAATTTGTTAAAAGTATTCTAAATATAATTAGTTAACAGATCAAGCAAAGCTTACTGTCACTGCAATAGTAACTAGTTGATTTGGCACTACGTTATGCATATGGAGTAGAAGAGTGAATGTATAAAAATTCGAACTTGTGTTGATATTTTTTTTTTTTTTTTTTTAGCGAGATGTCCCGACTTGCGCTAGATTATATCCTCGTTTTTGAACCTCCGACTCTTCAACAGATTAGGGAGGTAAATCGCGGGATGTGTCTTTGTTGGTTCTCAGTTTCCACACGGCTTTTACTCCTTCTTCAAAGGGTGCCTCTTCACTGTCTTACAGCAACTTGCTCTTAAGATAAATCTTGACTTTCAAGTTGTGCTTTTCAGGAATCGAATTCCTCACGCTTGGTTCCAGAGCCCCCAATGTGATTGTTTCGCCAATTTGGATGTGTTCCGAGGGGCTTATGTTGCTAATTTTGGTCATGTCACAAGGTGTTTGGCCTTTGATTTTTGTTTGTTTATCATTTTATTACATTATATTTTTTATAGTGTTTATTTTTATCTATACAATTTTCATTAAAATAATATTATACATAAATAAAAAAAGTTTCTTTTTTTTTTAATCACATATTTTAATATCAATCAATATTTCATAATATATTATTCACAAATAATAATACCTCGCTTAATAATGGCAGAAAGTACAATCATAGACTCATAGTATCATAAAATGTGAATGAACAGACTCGAATACTTCTAACCCTGGAATGTTTAACTGTGTGTTCAAATTCCATTAAAAGAGATATTAGTAACAATATAAACATTATGCAAATTATATTTATCTGTTGGCGTCATTATTTTTATTATCCAGCACTAGAATAAACATATAACACTTTATAATTTTTAATATTCCTTAAATTTTTTAGCACATGACGAGAATATTATTTAATGCCCATTGATATTTTTTTAGTCACTAATGATTTCAAATCGATTCGAGGTTCAAGAAAATTTAACATGTATAAATTAATTAATTTTCTATTTAATGCCTATTGATGTGTTTTCCGTGGATGAATTATTAATTTATCATATAAATTTGCAAAATTTTTTGTAATTATTTATAATGTGAATTCCAACTGCGGCAGAACTCTTCGTATATTTTGAGGTTTGGAGATTTTAGTAAGGACGTATTAATTACGGTTTATGTGAGGTTTAATTCATTTTAATGCATTAATCTAATTTTTCTCGTTTCCAGCGTATTGAGCCTAATTTTCCCTTAATACATTGATGTCGTGATTTGATGAATTTGAACTTTTAATTTTTGTATATTGCAATTTAAGTTTACTTTTTGAATTTATGTTGTTTTTATGATTGTCTATGGAGTAGGGATGTCAACGAGTCGAGTTGAAATTTTAAACTCGGGTTCGGTTTGAGTAGAATGATCGAGCTTTTGGCTTGGGCCTTTCCGAGTAGTGCCGGGCTGAGCTAGTGTTTTGCTGATTTTTTTTTTTTTTTTTTAATATAAACATGGCAGCAACCACCTGTCAAAAATAGGCAGCAGCACGCAACCTTTAAATTTTTATTTTTTTTTGTATGGTTTTTTTTTTTAATATAAATATAGGCTTGTAAACTCAAATCAGCGAGCCACATGAGTCGGTTCAAGTTTTGCCCAGCACCCCTAAATGAGGCTCGACCCGAGCCTTGGCTCGGTTCTTCTGAGTCTCGAGTCGGGCGGGCTCGAACTTTTTTCGAGCAGACTCACGAACTATCCGAATCGACGAGTCCGATTATCATTCCTACTATGGAGCGTGTGAGAATTTTTAAAAATCTACTTTTGTACCTCCATGTGTCGAACGAGATGATAGCCAGAACTGTTTACATTTGAAATTTCAAACCCGTAATGTAAATGAATCAAATGTGCTTTTATTTAAAACTTAATTAATTAATCTTTAAGAACCCTTTTAAGGAAAAATTAGGGGATATTTGATGATATTGTGGTGCGTTAATCAAATCTTAACGTGTGTTGTCTTATTCACGTCCATTTACTTGATTTATAAGAAAGTCAAGAAGTTAGTAGCAATTTAGGTTACGATATATTATCCAATCACTATCAAATTTTTTCACTTTTTTAATTTTTTTTTTACAACTAATAACTTGATTATCAATCTCCTCAACCAAATTCAGATTCTTGATTGTCACTGTCCATTTCATTAATATATAAGGTTCACGATTAAAATAATTGTGACCCACGATTGTGAGTGGGCTATCAAAATGCCGTACACTCAGCATTATTCCATAGAAATGATGCAACAAGTGTAATAATTTTGATATCATGGGTACAATTTTATCACATATAAGAGATGAGGTTTGTTGACCTAACGAATTGAATCCTCTACATGGCCAACAAATAGTCACTTCACCTAAGCATCCCTGTGTACGACAACGTGCGGTCAAAAATACACGGGCAAAACCAGTGGGGGTGGTGGCGGCCGCATACATTCCAACGGTCAAGTCAGTGTTAGGTGATCGAAACAGTGCTCATATTGTGCAAGAGACTGTGGACGAGAATATATATTTTTCTTAATATGGAGAGCTAAGTTGTGAGAGTTTCATTACCTTTCCCCCTTACCAAGCATTGGGTATTTATAGACATGGAGCACCGTTAGATGAGGAACACGTGTATGCATCTGACGGTGTGAGACGTCCTCTCATAGGTATCAATCAGCCGCGTCTAGAGTGGGGGTAATTAATTCTTCTGAGTCGAATTGACATAAAGTTGATACGTCACATCAACTAAACCTATGGAGACGTCACATTAATTAATCTTTGGAGGCAGAAAAGATCCTGACACAGATATCTTTCTGAAAGTAGAGGCGGAGAGATCTGTTAAAAGAGCACCTCGGAGTGCCTAACGCTTTGACTTAGGGGGCACTTCGGCTGATTCAATGAATCTACCCTGCGCCTCGCAGCTCATGAAGTTGGGGGTTGTCGGATCACTTCGAAACCACTTCGGATGAAGACGTGGCACTTCGGGGAGTGGTGTGCCTGATGTTGCAAAGTGGTTTAGTTAGGGGCGTAACAGTGGTTCCCCCAAGTTCAGGCATGAATATTCATATCATTGGTGGACTTGTTTTCCCGATTGTATATGTTGGGCTTAGAGTAGGGACTGCAATTTCGATGAAGTCCTGATGTGAAAGGGCGCATCCAGCAGATGTTCCGAACACCTGCTAGCTTAGGCTTAGTGATAACCGAGGCGTTGTGGGTTGTGATTTTGTTGGGGGGAGGAGTTCATCTGCTTCCGGGGCGCTGACCCATAGGGGGACGACGTGTTGGGAGATGGTTAAAGTTTTGTAAAGCTTAAGAGGGAATGCAACGATCGAGACGATGACGCACATGGGACTCCGCGTCAGGTTTGTCGAAACTTTGTAAAGTTGGGTAAAGAGCTCATCTACCACCAATGCGTTAACCCACAAGGGACGACGTATTAGGAGATGGCTAAAGCTTTGTAAAGCTTAGGAGGGAATGCGGCGACCGAAGTGATGACCCACAGGGGACTTCACGTCAGGTACGTCGAAACTTTGTAAAGTTTGGTGAAGAGTTCATCTGCCACCGGTGCGCTGATCCACATGGGACGACATGTTGGGAGATGGTTAAAGTTTTGAAAAGTTTAGGAAGGAACGTAGCGATCGAAGTGATGACCTACAAGGGACTTCGCATCAGGTGCTTCGAAGCTTTGTAAAGCTGGGTGAAGAGCTCATTTGAGGCGACCATTTCTGACGTTAGATGATTTGACAGCTGTCGCGTATTTTCAAGGCGACAGTTGAATACGATGCCCATTCCCAAAAAAGACTGTTGTGGTTACTTATTGTAGACGACTGATGGGGATCAAGGCGACACGTTTTATGTGTGCGTGAGGGCCACAACTAGATCTTAGATATAGATCAGATCTGACGTTTCATTTTAACGGCCTAGATTTGTAATGCGATGGACAGCCTAGATTGATAGTATTTGAATTTAACGGTGGAGATCATCTAGAGTGTTCTATAAAAGGGGGGGGCTTGAGCGTTCTGAGAGGCTTTCACTTTTACGAAATCAAACTCTCTCTGCTCTCAAAATTCTCTGCAATTTTTGGCGATCTTCAAGCATTTTTCGACGACATTTCTGCTTTTCGACGAGTTTTAGAGGGCCCTTTCTTTTATTTCGATAGTAGAAAACCCGAATCCGTTCGTTTCAGTAAGTATCTTGCTAGTTTTTCAAGTTTTTTCAATTTTGAAGATGGCTTCTGAGGGTAGTGATGCTTCGGGGAGGGAACTGGGTATAGTTCTGGTGGATAAGCCTATTTTGACTACGTCCAGTGAGGTATCCAAGGCTATATTAGGGGAAAAACATTTGGCGTAGGCCTGATAGTCGGTAAACACATCAGAACATTGGGGGGCTTCTGACTATCCATCAAAGTTGAGAGAGGCCAACCTAGATAGATTTAGGGCAGAATATAGGATCCCTGATAGCATAGATCTTATATTGCCGGAGCTTAATGAACGAGCCTGTTACCCTACGCCGGGGTATGTGGCTGTGAGCGAGGTACTTTTAGGGCTGGACTTAGGCTGCCTATCCATCCTTTCTTCAGGTATGTCCTTAGGTCATATGGGCTAGCTCCGACCCAATTAAACCCGAACTCCTAGAGCCAGATGGTGGGCTCCTAGATGTTGTGGAAGGAGGCGTCTCTTGGGGTAGAGATGCCATTTTCAGTCTTCCAGACCCTATACATCCCAAAGTGGCAGT